GATTCAGTTTAAAGTCCAGTCAGGTGGTGGGGGTGTTTAAAGGAGGAGTAACTTCTGCTGGTAACCTGCTGTGCAACCTTCTTGGTGTTTCTTGTTTTAGACAAAGTATTGCCCTTTTCTAGTTAAAACAACAAATCCTGCTGCTACAAGAAGAGATTTCCACAAATGGGAAATTATTCAGGGCAAATCATAACAATGATTTATCCAAAGTTACTTAAACTGTACCAAGATAAACTGAACAATGTTGATGGCAGTAAGTGATGTAGCAGTACAAAGTTAAGAAGAGAGAGCAGCAGTATAATTCTGTTGACTGCTCAGCCTGGTCATTGCAGTGATTTCATTATACTATTTCACTTCCAGATATTATTTTAAATACATACTAATGTAAGACACCTATGTAGTGTTCCAAATCAAAATAATAAGTTGTGTAATCATAAATAACAGTCCACGTAAGCTTGCACTTGTCTCTTAAATATTTAAATTGAGGTCTTTAAATGGCATATTTTTAAATAATTTTAATTGCATTTCACTTAATACTTTTTGTCACAGATAGTACTCAGAATTCCCTGTGGAGAGTGAATCCATGACAGATGATAAGTTAATAAGTTATCAAATCCCAGAATCTCTAAAATAATTTAAAGTAAAATAAGTTGAACATACAAATATTTGAAGAGACCAAAGGAGGTTTTGTTTGTTTGTTTGTTGCTTTTTTCTGACAGTGAATGTCAAATTCAAACATCAGACTGTTTGCCTTGTGGGAAAGAGAATATATTCCTTGAAAGGGCAGACCTTGAAAAGCTGGATACGTTTATTGTAGGAACACTTTTTTTCACAAAAATTGAGGGATTTTTTTGTGTGTGTTTGAAGAAGAGTTTGGTAAACATGAACTGTGATCTTTGAAAACCTTCACAGAAGTTGAAACTGCTTCTAAGTAGTGTTAGCTGTATGTGATGTCAGAGCACTGCAGATAATTAGCAATTAAGAAATTGTTATCAGAATTGCAAACAAGCCTAATGTCCTTATTTGGAGTTCAAAAGTGCCTTTGTTTAGCTGAGCAAGTGGCAAGCAAGGGTGTTATCCACCTGACCAGTAGAATACACAAATCTCAGTGCAAAACAGAGACCCTATAAATTTGACATCATTATATCATGTCCCATTTTTCATGCCTATATCACACCTACACTTTTAATTTGAGTTCAGCAGCCACTGTTGAAAACCTCAAGATTTCTGAGCAACTTGGGAATGTCCATCTTTTTCACTAGAGAGTAGACTGCTTGCATTTATGTTGGCTTGTTTGGTTTTGGGTGGTGGTTGTTTTTTAAAGGTGTCTGGAGTGTTTTTTGATATTGCAGTTGATGCATCAAGTAGTAATGCATTTAAGCACAAATTATTTGGAATTTCTGAATTTTCCAGTCACACTTTGTGATTCTTTTCTTGACTTAAAGAATTCTGTTCAACCCAGGACACCAAATATCAATGGCTAATTGAAAGTGAAATTGGAAATAAATAAAAACAAAACAAACAAAAAACCCCAAACAAACAAAAACAAACAAAAAACAACCCAGCATACAAAGTTTCAAAATATTATGCCACCAAGCCATTAAAAAAAAATGTCTGGATACCATTTCTTTCCAAAAGATTCTGTATTTTTGAAGACTTTCCTTTTTTAGCTCTGAAAACCAGATTATATGCAGTGTGGAATTGTTCAAAGCACTTCAGTGTCCAAAAAGAGAAAGGATTCAGCTCTGGAGTGAGGGTGTGTGATTTACAGGGCAGATTGGGAGTGTTGAGTGGGACAATACAGTAGCTGCTGCACAGTGTAACACCAACCAGTGGACAAACAAAGTGTGTGTTTTGTAATGCAATCTGGTTTTCTTTGTTGTCTAAACTATTAGTTTTACCATTACTTTTGAAATTTCTGTGCTTTATACCAAAGCAGATACGAAAATATGTAAATGGATTGAAATAGGAAGTGAAAAGTGGTTTGAATAATGCAACCACACAGTTATATTGTACTTGCACCAAAGTACAATCTTTATTATGGTATTGTGACATACTTTGTCTCCTGATAACACATTTATTCTAGACTTCTAATTGTACCAATATGCTTCCTTATAAGAGGAAGTGTTAGGAACCTCTTTTAACTTTTTTCAGAAAATATTAGAAATGTCTTGCTTTAAAGGTTCTTGTTTTGCTGCTTTACATTTGTTTGATGTTACAAATATATGAGCATTTCTCTTGTGAAAGAGACATCAGCAGAGATGGTATATGGGGATTTTGGTTTTTTTTAATGAAGGATTAAAACACTGCATAGAACAACTATAATTTTGGTTTTGGAGCAGAAAGATCTCGACAAATAAGAAGAAATAAAGAGGTTTTGCTTCTTTCAGCAGTGTTCCTTCATTCTAGTTTATCTTTGGCTGGAATTACTAGGAAGGGGTTGTCACTTCTGATTAATTTCAGTAAACCAGGGTTATCATTCTTGCTGCTTGCTTTCTTGAAGGGCTGTTTCTTTTATGGCTTTACTGTGTGACAAGACACATTCTTCTGCTAGAATTACAAACAGTGAAAAGAATTCCAGGTTATAGCTCTGCCAGCTTTTTTGTGATACTTGGACTCTGAAGACCATTAGTGATTTCAGAGTATCTGTTCTGCATTGTTGTTGTCTTGTGTGACCACCTACTAGGACTGGTCCCTCACTGTCCTGCGATACTGAAGGCAGCATCAGGACCCTCAAGTCATTTAATCTTTGAATCTGTTTATGTGTGTGTTTTACTTTGGGGTCTTTAATTAAACCAATTCTCTTCTATGCATATATATTTTTTTGGATTGTGAGGCTAGAAAAGTTGGGGTGAATTGAGAGATTTCTTGCAGTAAGAACACTTGCTTTGTGGCTGGCTGTGAAACTCCCCTGTTTTTGTATGTTTGCCACGATTAAATGTTTTCCACTGGTGTGCAGCAGCATTTTGGAAGACAGTCCCACAAGCATTCTTTCATATTCCACAGTTAGAACTCAAACTTAACTAAACTTGGAAATTTATTTTTATACACAGATGATGTTGACCCATTACTTCTGTAATGGAAACATCTGGCAGTTCATCTTCTATATTGTTTCAGAGTGTCTAATCTGTTGCGTAAGATTTTGTTCTTTAAAGTGTGAGAGGGAAAGCTGTATCTGGTGCCATCTTGCCATTTTAGCTCAATGTTTTCTTTTTCTTCTGGAATCATTTGGCACACTGTCTGTTCAAGACATTTCTTAAAGGTAGCTTTTCTTTTTGGTAACTTTTTTTTTCCTTTTCAATGCATTCAAGCTTTAAT